GGTCGGCAGGCAGGTAGCGGGGGACTGAGTCACAGACGGCGGGAAGAACAGGGCCGGTCCTCTGATTGGTAGGACAGATGCCCTTGTTTAGAGGGTGAAAAGCGGATGTCTGAGAGAGCACCGTTCCGGGGAGAGAGACGGGAAATCCGAGCCACCTGATTGGACGGGAGGCCAGCGGATCAGCGCCGATTTATCTTTGATTTAGAGGACAATAAAAAGAGGAGTGAAGGTAGGGATAGGGTTAGTTCGTGTTCTACTCAAGCCAGCGCTCGGGGCCGTCGACTTTCCAGCCACTCGAACGTCCGTGCGACGAGTCGAAGTGCAGCGAGGATCCGACCCAGCAGCTCCGTACGAGTCGAACCGTGAGTACCCGAGAGTGAGATATTGAGGCCATTGTGAGATTGTCTTAGGAGAGCGATTTGAAAGAGGCGATACAGATCGGGTATTAGACCATCGGGAGATAGGTTAGACCAGCCCTGCTGACTCAAACTGACTCGGGTAATTTAGCCTCGGACTCACTGAGAATAAACTGTTGGGGATCAATAAACCTTGTCGTGTGGTTTCTGCGAGGGTGGAACGGATGCATGTTGGTGTGGGTCGTTGTACCCTGTGTTTGTGCGTGAGTGTGTATTTACCCACGTGTTTGCGCTCGCCCATGCGTGCAGCTCGTGGTTAGCGTGTGCGTGTGGTGAGCGGCGGCGGACTCGTATAGGGGCACGTGAGATTACTCACACGCCCTTTCGTTTAACGTGTGCGTGGGGTGAACGGGCGGCGTACCCGTGATATTGTTCATACAGCCCTTTAAATAAATCTCCGAGACAACCCCCCCCCAATCGGCTGCGCGTGTGCGAGTGACGTCCCTGCCCTCTGACCCCCGACCCCGAGTCCCGCGCGCCCGATTGGTGCGTGGCACGGGAGAGGAGCGACGTCGGATTTCGAGTGCGTGGGGTGTGAGTGAGTGTGCGCGGAGATTGTGTGAATTAATCCCAGGTGGCTAAAGCGCCAGCCACGAATCATGTCCCGAGGGGCCGCAGCGAAGTGGGTGGGGGGGGGAAGTCGGTGAGCAGTAACTCTCCCCAGGACAAGGAAGAGGGGAGCAGTGGATCCCACCTGAGCGAGGAGCCAGGGGGTCAGCCTCCCCGACATAACAACAACAATAACAACAACAACAACACAAACTCGCCAATTGACGTTCACCATGAGCGAGTGTCGCCGCTGCCGCTCCCCCGCACCGAACTAGTTCACGCACAGACACACGTGCTCCTCCGTCAACCCTTTTCACTCCTTGTGCAATTAAAACACAATATCATCATCATCATGATCACCGTGAAGAACTTCGCCTGTCGCTCGCTCTTTCGTCTGCCATCCCAAAGGGGCCGGGGATGTCCCCTTGCTGCTGCTCAGTTATTACGCAGAACAACATTGCGGTGAGCATCGTCGACTGGCGGCCCGTAGGGGTTCGCGTGAATTAAATGAAATTCAACATCAGCATCGTCGTCGTCGTCGTCGTGAATGTAGCGGCCACTCGTCGGATGCTAAGCAGGTTTCAGCCTGGCTAGCAAGGTGACGAACCTTACTGGTTGGCTGTGTCGGGTGGTGGCGGGTTACAACCCGTCTATACTTACACGATCGAACAAAAATAAAAGCCTTTATTATGAATATAATAGTACTTGTATGGCAGACTACGTTCTCAATCTTTGCTGTATCTCTCTCTGTGTTCTTCCTCCTCCCTGTACTCAATTACCACCACTCTCTCGCCAAGGACACAGTACCACCACTCTCTCGCCAAGGACACAGTACCACCACTTTCTCGCCAAGGACACAATACCACCACTCTCTCGCCAAAGACACAATACCACCACTCTCTCGCCAAGGACACAGCACCATCACTCTCTCGCCAAGGACACAGCACCACCACTCTCTCGCCAAGGACACAGTACCACCACTCTCTCGCCAAGGACACAGTACCACCACTCTCTCGCCAAGGACACAGTACCACAACTCTCTCGCCAAGGACACAGTACCACCACTCTCTCGCCAAGGACACAATACCACCACTCTCTCGCCAAGGACACAGTACCACCACTCTGTCGCCAAGGACACAGTACCACCACTCTCTCGCCAAGGATACAGCACCACCACTCTCTCGCCAAGGACACAGCACCATCACTCTCTCGCCAAGCACACAGTACCACCACTCTCTCGCCAAGGACACAGTACCACCACTCTCTCGCCAAGGACACAGCACCACCACTCTCTCGCCAAGGACACAGTACCACCACTCTCTCGCCAAGGACACAGCACCACCACTCTCTCGCCAAGGCTATTCACAGTGAGCTAACGAGATATCGTCTTTAGTTTGTTGTCCTCCCCCCCCCCCACCTCCGATTAGCACGGTTGGCTACGTACGGTGCTTAAGAAGTTCAACATACAGTACATACCGTACATTCCGTAACATTTTTAATTGACAAATAAAGGCATAAAGAGAAACTGTGATAGC